CTTTTGCAATAACTAAGGCACAACAAGCTAATAATATCAGATTAATTTAGGTAAAGCCATTCCATCAGCTGCAGCTTTGTAAATGACTGATGGATGTTTTTTTTTTTTCCCGCTGTTTTTTTCTGACAATATTTTTTCAACCCAGCAAATTTGTCATTTGATATAGAGGATGGGGAAGGGATAAAAAGTATTCTTTCTGCCAGCTGTTTGTCAGTGTCCAACAGGGAAGTGCACAGATAGACACTAGGTGGTGCTAGACTGCATGCCCTTTTCTCGGGAAAAAAAGTGCCCCTTTGGAATTTTAATTTATTTTTTACAGTGTATAGTGTCTTTATAAGCACGTCATGCTGACATGTCTCTTGTATTTCTCCTCCCATAAGATTGTTTAAAGGATCTTTCAGGATAATAATTTTCTTTGGTTGCTTTTGTGTTACTTTACAATAAGTAGAAAAACACAAATGCACACTAAACCTTAAAAAAGCATGTTTACTTGAAAACTGCTATAAACATTTGAATGTGTTTTGTTTTCTAGTCTTTTATTTCTACAGGTTTTGAAAACATGACTTAAAAACCTTGTTATATCTCGATGCCAGGAACAAACCCGGCATTAACTGCACATCACAAAATGAGCGACAGACCACATACTGCCATTAGTGACCTCGAAAAATGTTTTCCATTTGGTTTGTAACGCTGAATCTCCTTTTCAGGATCTTTGTGAAGATAATGGCTGGAAAACAGGCAGTGGAGGCTTATAAAGGACTCCCTTCAGAACAGGGACTTAATGTAGCTCTATGCTGCCACTTTAATTCAATTAGCCCATGTCAGTCACTGCCTAGGTATCAAACCGCCTCAGACTAATATTTACAGAGGGGCTCTAATATCAATACGCAGGTGAAGGTAGTTCCCCCCGTCCTCTCCAGCCTGCAATTATATAACCACATATGGCTGCAGCAGTGAAGCACAACATTTACCACCGATCTCTTCAACAGCTGGCCCAATGATTGGCCCACGCCGACAGCCAAATCCATTCTGACTGGCATAATCTTAATATTAGCCTTAGAAAAATGACTCTCGTATTGACTAAGTAAAACTATCGAAATGAGTCATCTGAGCCAGAGTAAACACATTTAACCAGCAGGTCAGAGGCTGCCACACAAGAGGCAGGTTAAGTTTGATCATTTTCTCAAAATGTTTAATGTCCTCCAAAACCTTTTGGGAAAAACAAGTGCGGGGGCTGATATTGACCTTGGCAGCACGCCGAATACCCGAGACTTTATATGTACATCAATGCTCCATCTTCTGACAAATGCAAGTGGACGTCTTGTGCAGGTCGCTCGCTTTTCGACTCCTCAACCCACCCACCATCCATGCTGCGTGATCATGAGATAAGAACGACATAGCGTGTGTATGTTCTGGCTAAATCTGGTAATGTGGAAATTGCTGCAATCTTGTCAGCACATCTGAAATATGTGTTCGATAAAAAAACAGACACCGAGATCCAAATGAACAAGTTAGATTACCTGTTTGGGGATTTAAGTTAAACATAAGAATAAAAGGGGATTCTCCCACACAAACATGACCATGATCACATGTTCCCCATCAAGAAACCCAAAACAACAAGACCAAAGTCTCAAATCCAATATGTCACCCCTCCTGTGTAACTCGGTATCCTCTTACTCAGGTCCTTCTCACTGTCCTCGCAATGGTAATTGTGCATGCTGTTGAGAAAAGAGCTGCAGAAACCGCAACATAATTTTGACAGCGTTCTCCTCCTACTTTCAAAGCTTGAAATAACACACCACCTTCCAGATGCTTCCAGGCTGTTCCACGCCTGCCTCACCACCACGGTTGTTCTGGATGCTAAGAGGTCTGGTGTAGACCACAACTGGGAGCGGTCTTGCGTGTTTCCTTGACTACTACATGTAAACTCACCTTCCACATGCATCCACTCACATGTTAGCGCAAACAATACACATGTAAGAAAAAGATCAAACCCGAGACACTCAAAGTGTGGATCACTTAAGTTAAAGAAATAATGGATTTGTGAAGCGTTTCCAAATATTTCTGAAAAAAAATGAAATAAAAAACAAAAGGTTTTCTCTCTAGTTTCTTTGTGCGGTTCACACTCAGCTCTCTGACAACACCTGGGCTCCATTACTCTGCTCTCTGGGGAAATCATCATCTCTAATAGGAAACACGCTGAGCAAAACAGGTACAAAAGAACGGAGGGTGGAGCATCCTTTTGCATCATAGTTGGACTTCTCCCGGATTTCGTGTTATCTGCGTAATGTAAAGCAGGACAAATGGTCTGAATCAAAGCTGGAATAACAATATTACATTTGTAATTATTGTTCACTTTATCAGGTACACTTCTACTTCTGGAATGGGCCTTCTTTTGTCTTTAGAACCGCCCTAATTTGTTGTGGGAAAAATGTAACAAGGTTTGGAAAATTTACATGATGGCATCACAAAGATGCTGCAGATATATCAGCAGCACATATATGCTGTGAATCTCCTATCCATCCACCTCCCAAATATGCACTATTGGATTGAGAGCTGGAAGGATGAGGCCATTAAATTACAGTGCACTACTTGTCATGTTCAAGGAACCATTTTGAGATGATCTGACTTTTCTAACATGCTTGCACAATCCTGCTGGAAATAACCGTCAGAAGATGAATACACTGTGGTTACGATGAAGATAAAGACATGATGAGCAGCAATAATCAGGTATGTTATGGGATTTCAAAACACTCAATTGGTTCTAAGGGGCTCAAAAGTGTGTTAAGAAAATATCTGATACACCATAATATCACTTCCACCAGCCTAAATCCATGCTCTCATGTTGTTTACATGCCTAGTGTTATCTGCTTTAGGGTGCGCTGTGAAATGAGAGATAGTATTTGATATGCTTTTGTTATAATGAGTAGTTATTTGCCTTTCTATCGTCTTGAACAAGTCAACCCATTCTCGTCTGACAGGAACAAAGCATTTAATTCCACATCAACTGGGTATTTTCTCGTTTTTTCCAGTTCTGTTGACCTAAGAGGTATTATATCTGTGAGGGTGAATCCACAAAGGTCAACAGTTTCTGAAATACCCAGACCAGCCTGCATACCACTAACAGTTAATTTACTAATTTCTAGTTTGGACTTCTGCCAGTCATCTTGTCAGTAACTCAACAGCCTTGTGATTGGCTGGCTGATTACTTAGTTGTGTTTATGAGCAGTTGAACATGTGTACCTGATATAATGTCTTGTATGTATTGGAATGTTTCAATACCTTTTTGAAACAAAACCCATATTCTTCTATTTTAGGCTATGACAAAGGCCCATCACCTTTTGTGACCCATCACATTAAATGCAAGTTCTTGTTTTATTTAATATCATTTAACCGAGATTGATGAGTTGCAGCACTGTGGCCAAATAAAGATGAATACCTGCAGGAGAACAGAACAATATGCACCATTTGGCAGGATTATCCAGAGAGATGCAGCTGAGGAAAAACCAGATGATACGTCACAGTGCTTGACAGTTCACTCTCATGCAAGCCTAAACTGCGTCCGCCCCAAAAAAACAGAGCTGGTCGTGCGTCAACGCTGACCTGGTGGTGACCAGAGCTACCCCTCTTCCCATGAGGGGTGTTCTTAGAGGTTATGCACTTTGTTTCCAGGACGAAAGCCAAGCGGTTGTCTCAGCAGGACCGCGAGGCTTTGGCCCAACGTGATCCAAGAGGGTTCGGCCTGGATTCAGGATGAGTAATATGTGAAAGACAAAGGAAGCAGAGGGCGAAAAGTGTAGCAATGGAGGGAGTTTACGAAGTGTTGCTGATCCTACGTATTTGTGAGGCTATTTGCAGGCAGATAGCCTCACAAATGATGCAAGGCTGTTGTGTAATAAACTATTGCGGACACAAACTACACAACAGGTTCAGGGCAAAATGTGTGTTAGTGACTGCTCCAGGTCCCCTGTTGAACTTGGGATCCCAAAAGGATTTGAATGCACACAGTGGACAACTGCACCAGCGGTATGCATGTTAATTGTCATTTTAAGACATTGAAATCTAGTAAATGTTTTAAATATATTGAGTTCTACTACTTGTGTTTGAGCTTTGATTCCAATTTAGCATAACTTGCTGTGACCAAGTTATGCTATTACTTGGTTTTGTCATAGCCAAGTAACTATGTGACTTTAGTTGTTAAAAAAATTGTAAATCTTTAAACTATTTTTAGAAAGGTTGGACTCAGAAGTAGTGTGTACAATGAGGTTTACAGCAGCCTTGCCTTTCACCAGGTGTTTGCTAATTGCTACTGCTAGTCTGTAGGAGCTGAATAGGGGAGGCAAGAAGAAGCTGTGTGGGAGTAACCACTCAGCCATGGCTGCCATGGGAGATTCAAGGAACGAATCAAGGCAACAGTTGAGGTAAGTTTTGAGGTGGGAATAGCATAACATTATATATAACTCAGAAAAAGTCCATTTCACATAGAACTGACATCAAGCAAAACAATTTGAGTTGGACTGTTAGTTGTCGCTTCACTATTTTACTGTAACACGACTTCTGTTGAATAGAACAGAGTTAGCTGGTGGGAGATGAGGTTTGTGTCGCGACATGAAATGATTTGGACTTCGTACAATCGTGGACACTATGACAAAGTGGGTCTCTTTTTAGATGTTCCCTGCATGTATGTTCAAAGGTCTGACTCAATTTGACTATTTTTTATTTTTTTCCCCACAATGTGACTAGTTTTAGCACATGGAAAGTTTTGGTCATATGACAAGATTCTGACGAGATTATGTTTTTTTTGTATTTTTTTTTCCCCCCCTCGTTATTCAGGACAAGCTCAGTTTTTTAACAGATTAATGTTTGTGCTTCCCACCCCGATGACACATTTATAATTCTCTAATCCCTTACAGTGACCCATATTGAGCGAGTGTGACGCATTTCTACATCTACAAGCCGTTTGTTTCGCATCCAGGGGGACAAGAGGGGCGAAGACTCACCCGTCCCTTGCGCCATCCATGGATGCCAGAGGGGACAGGTGATGAGGGCTACCGAGGTCTCGATCCAGCCGTTGCTGCCGGGAGGGCAGGTCTGTGACGGAGGCAGGGTTGGGGGCATGGGAGAGGAGCTCCACCGAGGCGCTCTGATGGGGGTTGCTGGAGCCAGCGTACAGGCCTGAAAGACAAACAAAGCTAATTCAGTAAACGTGCCAGATAAACTCAAGGGTCGTGCGCACAGTCTTTTCTTTTGAGCAAATTAAAAGCCATTTCATGGTAACAGGGCTTTGTTTTGACAACCTTCATCCAATCGCTGTGCTTTGTAGAAGAAAATGTTCTTTGTTTGTGCTGTTTGCAATTTAAGGTACATTGTCTGTGCTGCCACAGGGACTTGGCCTGGTTCCGCTTTTTCTTATTATTCAATAATCAGCTAAATTAGAACATATGTTCGAACAGTGAGCATGAAAAGTAGAACTTTGTAAAAGCCACCAAACGAAAACATCAAAATGTTTCATTTAGAAACGCTCCGTTTTAAGGTTATTTAATTTATAGTTCTTGGCATAGCAGTGTCAGGGGGAACCGTTATTTCATACTCAGGATGCATGGTGCCAGCTTTTCTTCTATTTCGAGAGGAAAAGTGTTGTTAAGTGCAAATCATTCCACAAGCTTTAAACTGTCAATATCAAATTTCTCTTGATATTTTTCTCCCGTAAACGACTCTTGCCCAGTTTCAAAATCCCAAGGTGACATCTTGAAATCTTCTTGTTTGCTCTGGCTAGAAATTTTAAGCCCAAAGGTGTTGAGTTTAAAGAATAAAACAGAGAAGCTGGAACCATCAGGTTTTGGCCATTTGCGCCTGAGCATATTTTCTCCAAAATTGCTTTTCATTTCTTACCGCTTTGTGCATACATCTAAGATTTACATGGACAATTCTTCCTACAAATCTGCTCCGCTGCTTCTAAGCTTTCAAAAACAATAATTTTCCAGCAGTTCAATTTCATCAACTTAGAAGAAGTGTTCCTCTGGAGGCCCATTCGGCCCAGAACTTCCCATTCCTGACAACAAATCTCGTTAGCATTGAATCAACTTGATCAACTCTTTCTCTCCTCTGACTGTAAATCTACTCTGATTTCTTTCATGGCAGTCAGTAAGTGAGCACTAACTGTCTGGAACAGTTAAACTGCAAGAGAAATTGGAGCAAAGGAGAAGATGGAGGGAAGAAAAAAAAACGCTCTGGGTTTTTGCAGACTGATCTGATACTACACATGACTCATTAATAACAAGTCACAAACCTTAAATGTTTTTACTTCTAGACTCATCATTTGCTATCACACGGGCAAAAGATTTGACAAATAATATTGTCTAATCGTTTTTGCTTTTTATTTTAGGAAAGAACCATTTACTATGCAAGTATTCCCTGAAAATATGCCGACGTGTGAGACTAAGAATTAGGCTTCACATCTTTTTTGTCAATTCTTATAAAGCAGAGGAAAACTGCAAAGGAAAGAAAACAATATAATTATTTTTTTCAAAATCTTTTGGAAATAACTCAAATGCATTGGAGGCAGACTTCACTGTCCCTGCAGAAGAAAAGCATCCGCACAGCATGATGGTGCCACTGTCCAGGTGTTACCAGGTTGATGCATATTATGTGGACAAACTTCAGAAACCTTCACAGAAAATCTGCCCTTACAGTGAGATTGCATCACTCAAAAGTGAATAATATTGACTAAAAAGATACGTTTTGAAGCCAATGTTGCACTGAATTTCATTTCAGGTTATCAGAGTAAAAGGACCTTAGCAAATATGCATGCCACACTTTCTGATGTATATATATAAAAAAATCCATGAATACCTTTCCTTTCATTACCTTACCTTTCACAATCATGTCAGCCCAACTGATGCAAGTCCCTCCAGCTATACAACCAGAATATGACAGCCTCTATTCTCAGCTCTGATAAGTCGATGCAGGTATATCAGGGAACACCATAATCATTCCCTATAAAGCACAGAGGGGTTTCTCGTAAGCCTCACTGCAGACATGTAAATAGGTGCAGACTTATAATCAGCTAACAGGAAAGCACGTTTAACTCTTACTGGAACCATGACTCACTTTCTGCCCTGCAAATGTTAATGACTGGATACCTGCCAGCCCTGCCCCATTTCTTTCATGCTTCCTATAAGCCATCAAACAAAGTGAAACTCGTGTAAATTGGAATCCTGACTCCAAACCACAAGGCTGCAACATCTTTGCTGCACCAAGTAGTGCCTAATTTGGTGCTTGCTTACGAGGAAGCCCCTCGGAGGCCTTTAAACCCGTTAAAGCATGAGAACAAGCAGCATCAACCTAAAGACGACGGAAAGGAGCAGTTTAAGAGCCAAGACTCTGTTTGACATTCAGGGAAAAGTTGAGCGTTCACTGATGTCAGAGCAGATCCAGCAGCAATAACGGAAAACAACAGGGAGCTTGGAAGAACTACAAGCAGAAAACAGGGACAGATGTGTCCATAAACGGAAGCTGCGGGGCATCTCTTTTGTGTCTCCTAGATTGCTGTAATCCATTTATTTCTCTTGCTCACTCAGTCCACTGAGATGTTCGCTTTTAAATGGAGCCAAATATGTCAAGCAGAAAAATGGACATTTAAAGATCTTACATGCCAACATAAACCTTCTGTTTGCAGTCTTTTGCACTACATGATAAGCAGCAAGAATAACATGACTGCAATGAAACACAAGTCAAGCTGGACTGTGAGGCTGCAACATTTTCTTTTTAAGACTTAAGCACGGTTCTGCAGAGTTAAATCAACTCTGTGCCGAGTCTATTTGGTTCTGATCAGAATTGGTGTTAATTTAACTCTTTTCAGACTCATTTCAACAAAGGTTTGAATAGTTATAACTTTTTCAAGGGTTAAAACTACTCAGTTTCTTGTTGAAATTACTCTGAAAAGAGTTAAATTAACACCAATTCCGATAAGGACCAAATAGACTCGGCATAGTGTTGATTTAACGCTGCAGAATGTCACTGTGAGCATTTTGCAAATCCAGCAGCTGATCTCAAACCCTTCAAACTTTTCTTTGTAAGACATTTCTAAAGAGTATTTTATTTCATTTTACAATTTTACAGTCATTTGTGTTATGCTATAAAATACATTGAAATGCGTTGCTATCATTCGTCTTCATAAGCCCCAGTGTCACTGTCGGAGGTCAACTGGCCACAAATATTTGATTTGATTGGAAGAAATGAAAATGTTTTCATTCATGGTAAGAAGTTGACAAGAATATAAAACTTTCGGATGGGGGATCAAGTTTTAGTCTTTGACAAGGATTGCATGTCGTCCTGGACTAAACATTGCATGGCAGGCACTTAAAAAATCTGTCTAAATTCAGTGGCTGTAGAGAAAGTGAGGATGATTGCAATTGAAGAAGCTGTCAATTGTCAGTCAAACTCTGCAAACACAGAACAGCATGTTAGTGCCTTTGCTGCCCAGTTATTCAAGTCGGAACCTTCAACAATCAGTTTAAACTATGCAGATTTTAGTCAAACATCAGGAAGAAGAAAGATTGAATGCAGTTATAAACAAAGACACAGAGTACTCTGTGGTACAAACACAGAGCAACTCAGTTTTCCTCTCAAAGGCTGATTTATTTTGGACCACATTTCAACCTTTATTGCATTCGCCACAGAAATGGACTCCTTGTCATGCATCTGACTGGTTGGGAGGAAACATGTAAAAGTACAGCGACAGGGAGATGGCAGTGACCTGATGTCTGTTCTTGTCAGTCTCCATGGAAAGCCTCTGTAAATAAACTTTTTTTTTCTCAGTTCTGACGACAGGAAAATAAAGATAAACCGTGTTTAACCGTCTCTAATGACGGCACATCTTCTTACTGGAACAAGACAATAAAAAGTGTGTTAAAATTCATTTAATTAATCAGTTTAAAATGCTTCACTAAAAGCAACAAATAATCAGGGATTTTTTTCCCCCTTAGCACGAGTTAATACCTTTATAGGCAAGGTGTTATTCTGTGTACCTGAGAAGATGTCTGGACAGAGTGCAGGGGAACGAACATCTTTGCCGTTGTAGATCTGATGCGAGGAGCTGGAGCTCTGCAGCTGCTGCATGGAGAGACAGTCGCTAAGGACATCCTGCTCCAGGTGTGGGCAGGGCCGCAGCTGAGGAACACAACAGGAAATGATTATAAAACAGTAGATACTGTATAATATTTCAAATTAAAGGTTACAAATTCTTTTAAAAAATCTCTTTAGTTTCTCCAGAATGAGATTGTGATGTTAATGTTGATAAATGATTGAGAAAATACATTTGTGTTGTCTGTATTGAAAAGATAAAGGAAAGGCAATTTCCTTTATTCTTGATGTCCTGGACTATTTATGTGTGATTGATCTTCATTTTAACCACAGAGATTTTTCTTGTTATCGTTCATTGTTTACCTCAACTGTGGTTTCTGAAAACTCATCACAGCAGAAAATGTTATCACGGCACTCAATATAACACAAAACGAGCTGCTTTAATCCTGCTTTTGTCTTATTTTGCCATCGTATTTTACTGTATCTAAAAACACATTTTGCATGGGTATAAGTGTGAATAATTGAACAGAGGTTTATGAAACATCCCTCTCTGCCTGGTACAGTCTATTGTTTATGATGCAAACCCATTTGGAAAGTCTACTGGTGCCTCAAAGGTGTCAAACAACTGTTGACTGAATGAATCAGAAAATTTCAGGCATTTAGGATATAGTGATATATAAATCTTCATCGCTGCAGATTGCATAGCATAGCATGAAATTAAGTAACATTCCTTCGCCGACTTCCTGGGACACCAGAGCATCACTCGTTTTTATAGAAGTGTGGTATTTGTGGCGTTTAAGTGGCAAATCCGAAACTGTAGACCGCAGTACGAGATGTGTGGAACAGCATTGCTGGAACAGCATTTACATATATCCATGTGTATTGCTACTGCATTGCATACAAAACAGATATGAGAGTATACACCTGGGAAGCTTTGGAAAACACAGAACTGTGCATCAGCTGACTAGTATTATCTGTGTCAATAGGCTGTGTTGAATGAAAAATATGTGATAACTTCAACCTATTTGAAAGCTCTTTTCTAAATATTTTGTAATTTCGATGTAACTAATAGTTTTCAACACATGCTGGAGGAAATGCTTTCAGATGGGCAGATATAATGAAGTTTGTGAAGCAATTTCTTCCAAAGAAAATATGTTTTAAACCATCAAGTCTCATCGTTGTCTATCGTTAACTCCAGTTTCTGCTCCACAACAAAAATCAGTTCCACATTTTGATTTTGTGGTTGAAGCATCCTTTATCTGCATCATTAAGACATCTACTCTAAATGATTTGTTTATCTGACAGAAACCATCGACAAGGAGCCAAGAGGGCAGTAATTTCATATCTGCTTTTTGTTAGATTTCTGGTGTTCCCATAAGAGATTTCATAACATTTTAAATATGGTTTATCTTAACAGTTTTACAGCTGGCATCCTCCATGTTTGGTTTCGTTCTCTGTGTCAGTAAATGTGTACACATGGGTCCTCCTGGGGATTATTATGAGTGTCCTGCAAAGCATTCATCACGCGTAATTGAGGCTCTGTTTTCTCCACAGCGACACTCTCAACAGTTTGCTTTTCTGGGCCAACTCCAACAGTGGAGTAAGAGCGTTTGTTTGACATTTGTCCATAACATCTGGGCCGCTGGGGTATTCTGCACTACAGCTTATTAACAACGCTACAAGCACACATGTGTTTCCCCTTTTACGACGTAAAGCAGAGGAACACACCATCCAGCCTGCCACTATCCAACCCTCTCCACAACAATGAGCTCTTTCTCTCTGTTATTTCGCCACTTCCAGGCAGGGAAAGAATGGACTTTTTTGAACATAAACGCGATGAAATGTGGTCAACCTGATCTACTGAGACGGGAAATTATTTCCAAAGACACTTAACTTGTAGAAAAAAGCCCATCTAAACAGGATCAAGTGTGTCAACATTTCATCAGAATTTGTGAACTGCACTTAAGTTGGTTTCCTGGTATGACCATGACTTTTAAGAACAATTCATTCATTGGGGTGGTCATTCACAAAGCCTTCCTTCACTAGTTTGGATCCATGTGTGTCTTGTTGAAAAATCCAACTCTGTCCGAAGTTCAAATATCTGACCCAAATTCTCAGCCAAAGACGGATGGAAATTGGTGGTGGTGTTTAAGAACAGGCCAAAAACCGGCAAGACTCAAGGCTAAGCGGGAAGATGTTGTGACACCACAGTCCACGGTGAAGCACATTTCATATCAGTGCAGTGGGACAATTAAGAAATAAGGCCCTGCTCCAAAATTCAGGAACTTTGTTAAATAAGTAGCTGAGCAACTGTCATGCATGTAGAGGTAACGTCAAGTTCATCCTGAAACTAAAGTTTCGTCGATGAAACTTGGACAAAATTGTGTGTTAAAAAAGGGCAATGGGGATTTCCAACCCTTTTTTTCCATTAAGCATCTGGATGACCACTCACAACCTTAAACCCACTGGAAGTTTGTCGACTATGTTCAAAAGTTTTTTGCCTGGAAACAAACTAATTTAAATGATCTATGCAAATCCTAAGAAGGAACTACCAAATATCAAAGCACAATTATGCCAGGCCTCTGTTTAGGTCTAACAGAGGTACATAGTTTCTCTTTCATTTTTCAAACATAATCTGTGGTATATGCAATTATTTGAGGTTGCGTACGTTGATAAAAGTACAATAGATGCAAACTTGTACAGCCGGTTTTTAAAAATCATTGAAGTTGTTCTTCAACTTCACCACTCTGTCTATGTAGCAGCAAACTTTCCAGACTTATCTTTGTTTTGCACATTTCTCTACTGGTCTGTTTGTGAGATGTTTCTACTACTTTTCTGCATCTAAATGTGAAAATTTGATTCACAGAACTATAATCTTCTGTAAATCTTTTCTGTGTTCCTGGTCTTACTTTGAAGCCGGAGGCTTCAACTCCAGGCCTTGAGGACCGGCGTCCTGCAACCTTTTTGGTTCGAGGTCATAATCAGAACTTGACTGGAGAAGTATATCAGCCATTTGATTCAGGTGTGTGGGACCATTAGAGTTGCAGGACACCCTGAGGCCTGGATATGAGGACTTCTGCTCTAAAGGGTGAATGTCCAACTGAAATCCAAAATGTCTACAAGAGGGGATAATGTCAAGGTCTGATTTGATTCAAAGATTATTTATATGTCATTTAATATTCCTATAAAACAGAAGTTGCATCAAAATTTTAAAAACAAAAGTCAATAAGTGGCCAAATTTGAATACATTTTATGAATGATGTCACAGAAACATCATCATAGGGCCATTAAATCGGCAGACGCTGAGCTGTACCTCCTCCCTCTGGAGCAGCGTCCACAAAGATCTTGTAAGTGACTAAGTGTGGCAGCGAGAGAGCGAGAGAGAGAGAGAGAGAGAGAGAGACAACCATCATGTTTTTGTAGTTCTAAATCTATAATAAATCATCTTGTACAGCAACTGCACTTTAAAGCTTATATGGTCACTAAAACGTCCATGAAAGTTGTAACTATAACAAAAAAAAATAAATTATTCACCAATGCAGACTTTCATTTACTTCTGTTTTGAAGAAATAAAAGGGACACAAGAGAGACGGCTGCAGCTGATGTGTTTTGTGGACATAATTAATTAGAGTACATTGAGAGCCAAATTATCAGTAAGTAATTCTAAAACAGAGCTTAAGTATGCTAAGGTTAGCTTATCTCTCAAAATGTTTAGAAACAAATGAAATAAGCATTAGTGTGTCAACTCAGATTGGAACAAAATGTCTGCGGTTGTCAAGAGAAACGCTGTAGAAACGCTCCACAGGAACGTACAGCATTTCTTTAACTAAAATTTAAAGGTATCCATGTGGTAATTATTTGAGGAATTTTAGAACTGCAACAGATTAGGACGCTTCGATAAATTCCTGACATTTTCTATCAGGGGCGAAAAATCCTGATCAGAATACCCCTAAAATAATCCTGATAATCCAAAGCAATTTTATGTTCTCATAACATCACAAAACCACCAGAGGCTTCCTAAATCGAGTCGTCCACTCTGACTGAGTCACCTGGTTCAAAGGGCTTTGGTCGTCCAGGTAGCCAGAAAGCCGGTATGAGTAAGAGTTTCTATGCGGAGGATCCAGCAGATTTACAGGATTACCAACAACCCTGCAGCAGCCCGACCACGTCAGCTAGATTCTCAAATCAAAGAGGCCATAAAGAAGTGACTATTTCCACTTTATATAAACTGCATGTGACAACTCACAGGAAATTTGCTTGCATAAACTTTGATGACTTTCAAACCACAAGAAAGCAAATTCTTCTCATCTGGTGATCGGATGACTGCATCATGAAGCCACGATTCCTAACCCTAACCTATGAGATCATTTTTATTAGTGTTACAAATGAGCTTTATGTATAGCCTGCTTTGTTTAATGGCTCTTCAAAAATGTTGGAAGTCTTTACAGTAATTAGCTTTACCATTGTCAAAGCATGTTTAGGTTGATAGTCAAAATAAATATACCATTTACATTGACTATCAGATCAGTATGTGATAACTTTCTCTCTAAATGTACCAACAACATTTTACTGTTTCATTAATTGTTGTGCATTTTCTTGAAGAGAATGCACAACAAAATTAAGGGTGTTGTGATGACAAATAATAGACTTTGAATCAGATATTGCAAAAATGCAATACTCTACCTAGTTTAGTTCAAAATTATTTGTGACCCTGCTTTAAAACAATCTCTTAATTTTACTAACACATTTCTAGTGAATGAGAATGTTATTATTAATGTTTTGAAGTAGCCCAGATAGTGAGCCAAATCTGGAAAAAAACCCCGACAGAAGGCCTTCCAACCTTAAACCCTAGGAGCTACCAGTGAAACATGTAACATGGATGTAAGCAATTACAATAATGTTTTCATTGTTGTGATGTCAAAATAAATGTTATTAATCATTTCTGACATGCCATTGAATAAACTGTGAATAAAACTTGAACAAAATGTATACTACTTTCCGATTACGCAATTATCTTCTGAGAGATGCCTGTCTAATTTCCTACTAGAATAAAACTTCTTGGTTAGATTAATATATAATTTTAAATCTAAATCGGCAGAGGAATAATTTTGGGGCGAAGTAAATGATTCCATTTCACTGCTCGGATATGCGCACTTGTCCTGGTTCACCCACAATGAAAGTCTCTTACCTTCTTATGCACCTGCTGCTCTTTGGCGGAGTGGATTTTGACGTGTTTGCGTAGAGAACTGGGATCCGTGTAGCGCTTGGTGCAGCCCGAGATCTGACATGCGTATGGTTTCTAAAGGAACAGAAAAAACATTTAACATCACAATATTTTTCCAAGTCTTACGCTTAGATATATTTTGTTTAAAGCATAAATATGTAGGTAAAAAGGTAAGAAAGCTAAAGGGAAAATTAAGAACTGAAATTCTAGAAATATATGAAAATAGTAAAAAATGAAATTTGTTAGAGAAAATGGAGAGTCCTACCTTTTAGCTGAGACAGACACAAGTTGAAGAAGAAAGAAGGCGAAGAAACAGAACGGAAAGAAAAGTTCATCAGGTGAGGAGATTTTAACACAAGAAAATCCTCCTTTAAACTTCACTTGCAGTCATATGTATTTAAATTTTCCCTTGTTCCCTTTCCTCCCACTCTGACGTTACAAATCCATACTGTCCTAGCTCACACACACGGTGTTACAAAAATAGTAATGTACACACAACCTCTAGTGCTACTAGAGGTTGTAAAAGCTCTAGTGAGTATGTGAGGAGATGATCTGCTGTGGATAATTAACTTAATTAGCAAAAAAGAGAAAGCTCTAGAAACATTTCCATTACACATTTTGTTGATCAATGGAGAGTTTTGTCAAGCTGAAGCTATGGTTTTTTAGGTAAAAGATACCAAATAAGCACTAACCAGCATAAGCAAAAAAAAAATCCAAAACAAAACAAACACAAAAACACGCAATTAATTGCCCTTGGACTCTATTTAAATGATAATTTTGCATGTGGTATAATGGCTTTTCTCATGACAAGTGTCACTAGAGGAGAGAGGTTGTAAAAGGAAAATAGTTTTATAGTTTTTAAATGTTCCAAATTATTGACCAGCAATGTCTCCTGTTGTATCTCCTATGTGCCACAGACATTTCTGCATTTCAGTTTGCACCTGCTTTCAAACGTGCCAGAGAAGGACGTGAAAGTAGCACCGAAAATTCGGTGCAGGTTCAGTGAATCGTTTCAGGGGCGAATTTATACTCGAATTTCCTTTTGTCATTTTAAAGCCAAACTGGGAAAACTGTGATTAGGTCTGTCTCTAGCAGTTTCATTCACCTTCACTTTGATGTTTACTAAGCCAAGTTACACTTCATTTAGAGTGCAGAAACACGAGTAGAGTAAATAATCCAGTGCAAATTTTGAGTAAGGCAAGAGTCAATATAGCATAAGAATGACGTGTTTCTGGCTGCAGCATTCTCAGTGATGACTTTAGGTGTGAAGTCATCAGCATCTGGGTCCATCTGTTAGCTGTATCATTTGGTCAATTGGGAAAATGTGGGTGGTGGAAGAAAATCTACAACTAATTTAAAAAAACACAAGTCAGCATTAATTTTCCTTTTTCTTTGAGGGTTCTGAATGATTTAATAGGAAAAAAGTGGGAGCGGCAAAACTTTGCAAAATAAACATGTACGGATGACTAATAAAAATCTTTCCTGCATTTTATTTTAGCATTAAAATGTAAATGAAGGGTGAGCTGACGCCCTCCACAACAAAAAGACTGTTTCGGTACAGCATGAATGCATTTGGTTTCAAAAGCAAAAATGATTCCCTGTTGTTTTCAATTCTTCCATATTCCCAGCACACTATTGTTCAACTATCTCACATTTCATTTTATTTCACAGAGTAGCTATGAGTAAATGATTTGCACTATTTTGTGCATCTGATGCTGCAGCAGAATTGGATATCCAGCTAAACCAGGCTTTGTGGACTTTTTAAAAAATGTACTTAATTGCTAGCTAAATATTGCAGCAACACCCCAATAATAAAGTAACATCATCCTCAGCTATGCTGAAGCTCTGTCTGCGCTGAAGAAGAGCTGCCCACCTTGACATGCTGAATGCCTTAAATGGCTGAATTTTGTGGGTGATATTTTAAGTGCATCAACCCAAATCAATTTAGCATAACATTCAGTTGGAAAGACAACAAAGTGACCATTAATATAATAATATAAAGCCATGGCTAGCGATCAGGTTGGTCACTTTGTGCCTAATGTGCAGTTCATCATAGTCTGCATACAGGAGAAGGGTTGGCACTGCTTGGATGACAAGTCTAGTTGCATTTCCAACATCAGTCTGACTATGAAACTTAAGCCTATTCCTCTGGATTAGTGCACATAGGGAATTAGTCAGAACATTTTATTTATTTATACATTTCTTAACTAAAAATACTTTTGCAAAAAGTGTGATAGAAACTTGCGATATTTTGTAAAATATAGAGAAAACTAATGCGGCTTTCATCTTATAGGGAGAAAAAGCACATATACCAGAAATATAGTGGAAGCAAAGCAGCTCATTTACTCCATGGCTCTGTTGAGAATGCCAGTCAAGTAGGCTATAAGTTGGTGGCGGTACAGCCACCTAATGGGTGGCAGCGATGAATGACTCAACCGTTCCACTTCCATACTGTATGCTCTGAAGAAACAAGCAGACCTCTGTTTTAGCTTGCATCCTGAGTCCAAGTCCTCTTCAGTGGGAGCCGCAGCCTGTGCTAATGGTGATGATTATTAAAGGACCTGCAGCATGTCTCTACTGAAGTAGGGAGTGAAAAATGTCCCACAGTTTCATTGATTTATGAGAAATTACACTGTCAAAATGTAGAAGTAGGCAGAGAAGCTTGGCAGTAGATTTTGAATGCAATAAAATTAAATGACTAAAGTTTAATCATCCTGCAAACACATACTCGAGGAATATTTATTGCTATTTACACCACAAATAATTTTTGGACTTTTTAATATGACCTAATTCAGCTCGAGTTTCGCAGACAGACAAAAGGAGCCTGTATCTGGGCGACTGCACACGACTTTTCAGTTTGTGTCAACCGACCACCCAGGTGGACCTGCTGCTTTTTCAGCAGGTCAAACATAAATTTAGGAATATTTTCTGACCGTGTCCAGGTGAGTGCGCTGGTGCTTGGCTCGGTCGCTAGAGTTGCTGAATGCCTTCTGGCAGCCAGGGTGCTGGCAGAGGTACGGCTTCTCGCCCGTGTGGCTCCTCAGGTGGATCTTCAGGTTCTCCAGACGGGAAAATGCTTTGTTACAGCCCTCAAACTGTGGGAGGAGGAGAGACCGATTACAAAGAGAAAACAGGGGGAAACAAACCGAAGTATAAGCCTGAGTGATTCAGAAATAAGTCATCCCTCCCTTTTTCTTATTGAGGAGCTTCTAATAAGGATAGTGTTCATTCTACAAGATATATTGACTGATTAAAAAAGACTGGAGGTGCAACTGTGAGCACTTCTTTCCACATCTTTTGAAAGCATCTGCCAATCCAAGACTCTTTGTGAAAACCACTGAGCACCTGTGCTCCCAGCCTGTCATGTTAATTGCAGGGGAAACTGGAGCATGCCATACAGTACGGTGTCGTTTATGTTGCCGTAATGCATAGCGGGAGATAAGTATTCTGCAGTGTATAGTCCATTAGACTGACAAGTGACAGTGACTGTAAACAGGCTCATATCTGACCCTGCTTGGCTCATTCGATCCCAAGCACTCACCCAATGAGCACCACAGATTTGTTAACGTGTGAATCATTCATGAGGCTTCTCATGTATCCACTTCTGGGCTTGTAAAGAAAATGGAAATTGAAACAAACAAAAACAAATTGTGGAGAGTGGAAGAAGCTTTTGCTGTCAAGACTCTCTACGAGGAGTGCCATGTTAGGAGTGATAAAGTTTTCGGGTAGAAATAATACAGGATGCTCCACTTGATGTAGCTTTTGAAACGTACAGGAGCTTCTTAATAAACAACCTGCACTTGAGCACAAGAAAACTAAATGTATGAACTTATTGTTGGCTATTTAAGCTCCGACGTCAACTGCTGTCCACACATTGTGAATCTCCAGACACTTGAATGGAGAAGTGTCTCAAAAATCTGCTTATTCCTGTTGCTTGAACACCTTTTGCTACGGCACGCTTTCTTTCCACTCAACTTTCCATTAGCGTGCTTGGATACAGCACCCTGTGAATTTCCACTGTCTTGACCTGAGAGACTAAAAGCATAACATTTCTGTATTAAAACGTTTTTAATTTGCATTTTCTGAGAAACTGAACTGTTGGTGTCATCAGCTGCTGGTTATAATCACTGACATGGAAAAAAAATGGACACTTTTTAATTACTATGACAATATACATGTGTATATCCATTTACTGAGTAAATACTGGCATAGTTCAGCTCTTGTTATCCCTCTACGACGGATTTGTCTTTTGGAAAATATTGGCAGTTGTTATGTGAAAATGAAGGGAGAAATCTCCATTGCTTTCTTAAAGGTAAACATCAGACTGCAGTGAGTATCTGATCAAATATCTTGACAGATTAAGCAGCTGACATCAGCTTGATGTGCCACCAGTGCTACTTTATAAAGATAAAAATAACAGAGGTTTGCTAATCTGTGCAGAATAAATACACAAATAAAATAAATGTAACTGTAAAGATGTTCTATTTTACATGACAAAAATAAAGCACAAAGAACAGGCCAACATTAAAAATGCCTAGTTAGGCTGAACTCAATAAATGTAAAGTTGACATCTTGCTGCTAAAGCTCATGTCTTTTTTTGTCCGTTGTCGTCTGACCTGTAGTTAGTCAGGCCGACTGACTACAGGTCAGGACAGAGCAGCAGCACTCCAGCTCTCTCTTAGCTCAACACTCGTCCCCGGCCTCCTTCATTCGCTCCGGCAGCGCAGGTTGGGCCTTCTATTCACCAAGGCTCCAGTTAAGAGAGACGAAACCCAAGCCCGTCATGGTAGAACCGTCTTAGGTGACAGCGCTCATTTGTGGCTTTCTGAATGCAGCAATGTGGCTCAGTGAGAGTCTTAATCTGTCCAAACCAAGCAGTGTGTCACACATCTCCACAGAGTTTGTATGATCTCTGAGTTAATAAATTTGGAAACAAAGCTTTCATTCAAGATGATCAAAATGATGCTTTCACCTCCCCACGCCTGCTGGCAAAAACTAAAAAAAAAAAAAAGAAAAACGCATGCAAAAAGCTTTTTTAGGCTAATTTTATTCAAACAAACATTAATGTATCCAAACACAGTACAGTATGAGGACTTGTTAGTGCTTCCAAACAGAAATAGGCTTGACATTGATGTTGCCAGGGCTTGACGTCTTGCTGCAAAAGAACACAAGTCTTCAGAGTGCAATTCACATCTGCAGCTAAGCCAGATGCAAAATCTAAAGTGCACATCAATGAGTACATAAAAGCCAAAATGTGAAGCTCAAAAGACAAGTCTACACAGTAAAGCAAAATAGTTTGAATATGTGTGTAGGATCTGATCTTATATGTGTTTTTACTTATGATGTGACAAAGCGAAAAGAAAGGTTAATAAATATTTTTGCAAGGCATCATGTAATATATCTGGTAGACTGTGAGGCTGAGAATAAAGGTTTGGAAAACAAACCAAGCTCATATCTAGGCAAAAAAAAAAAAATCCATATTCATGGAAATTTGTTTCACTGAAACAAATTTGAGGATAAATTAGTTAGAGGTCCATGAAGGAAAACCATGTTACTTGCGTAAAGCGTATTATTGATCTGAGGGTATAATTTGTAGAGAGACAATCCAAGCGTGAAGTTTTCCTGGCGAGTAAAACAATAAACCTCATAAGGCTCCAGCATCTTCAGGAATAGACGTTACCCAGAAACTCAGCAGAAAAATAAATCTATGCTAAAGTAAACCATTTTAATGCAGCCAATCTGCTGGTTTAAATTACTTCTTTCAGAAAGTGTGCTGACTGTCAACTTCATTTTGGAGATTTGCTGTATTCCAGTGCTGGCAAAATGAAATATGCCACTCCTGCAGGTAATGAGAGAAGAAAAGAGCGCGTAATAAGAGTCTCCGTCAGGCCGAACCATATGTGGTCCCATTTTGTCAGCCAAGACAGTTATGTGTTGTTTTTTTTTCACCTGACTACACTAATCAGAGTTACAGCAATAATGATGATAAAAGCCTCTTAAGATAACATGTGTACATTAAGAAGCATAAACTGTGTCAGTAAGCTGGTACACCATTCATAAGAAGCTGACTCAAATCTAAACTGCATAGAAAGCACCACACAGTTTAAAGTGGTATAAACAGAGTTGGTGTTTGACGAATGACTGGTTTTACCTTTGATATTGCCTATAAAAACAGCTTAAACTGTGCTAATCACATTAATTGCTTTAAACATGTTTAGTTTTCCTCTCTGAAAACCCTCCGTCCAGGGTGAACCAGAAGGCAGCCACACGAGGGGAGTGGCACCAGCACTCTTGAGGGCTTTCAGCCCCATTTGACACCATCCTCAGACCTGAGTGGGTCGCTCAGCGGCTCGGTAAACATTGGGGATGACGGCAGGGTCTCGCCGTGGCTGAAGGGACCGCGAGTGAGGGTTGAAAACCCGGGACAAGCGGCTGATCACAACAGACAGATTATGGACCCTGCGTTTGGTGCAGAGGTGGTGCATCACGCCTCAGGCCTTCATGGGAAATTACTCTTGACTGGCAGGGAAAAGACCAAACAGTGTCAGGAGTAAAAGGCAGCAGTGTAGGACTCAGCTTGCAGGCAGCGGCTCATTAGCAACCTGCTGGAGCTGCGGCTGATGGGAACAAACCAGGCGTTGTGGACGGCTGCTGGGTGGAATACAGCTACTGACATGTTCAACAAAAATCTGATTTAAAGTCTAAATGAGTGACGCAAGAAGACATATGTACACGAAGAGGATCAGTAGATATAAAGAGGCTCATCTGTTGAAAAGTAATATTTGCGCAATGAAGTGGTTGCTACTATCATTGAATACATTTTTCATTCTCATTTCAGGTTTAAAAAATGTTCCCTTTTATTTGCCGGTTGCAACAGATTTAATATAGTCACTTGGTGTCCCCATCAACTTGAATATATTTCTGTGTCCCCTTGATGCTGGAAGACTGAACTTGGATTTGGGAAAAGATTCACAACCAACTGAATAAAGTATCAAGTCAAGAAGCCAGCAGGATTCTTTCACTGGAGCGCTAATCTATTTTTACAACAATCTAGAATTTTTCTGTATAATTTTTTTTGCTTAGTTTACTTTAGCATAGATATATATATATATATATATATATATATATATATATATATATATATATATATATATATATATATATATATATATATATATATATATATATATATATATATATATATATATATATATATATATATATATATATATAAACTACCAAAATTAGGATGTATAACAGTTTAAGTAAGAAGAAAAAAAAAAGGTTTGGAGGGAAGAGTTGGTTTATCAAGAGGAAAACCACCAACACTTCAGGATCTGTGCAGAGGGGAGGAGGTGCAGCACAGTGCCCCAGCTACAGATGAGAAGAACATGTGTGTTTAATCTTCCTGCTTCCAAATGCCCTGTGGCAACCACAGCAAAGTGCAGAAAAACGTAAATGAATGAAATTATATCCATATGATCCGAGACGAGCTAAGGAGAGACAAGTTTCTCATGCACTTTGTTAGGATGTAATATTGAAAGCAGCTTGGGTAAAATATTCGCATTACATAGTTTACACATATCATTTGATTTCCACTCCGCATCAAGAACCGCAGCCATCTGTCTGCTGCGGATACGCCTTTAATTAGAAACAAATATATTATTGGTTATATCACTTTGATACGTTAAAAAGGAAGGAATTGATTTTTATAAAATGTTGTTTTCCACACTTATGGAGTCTATTTTCTTCTGTTACCCATCTTTATTATTTGCAAGTAAGAATGATCACAATGCTCAAAAAAAAAAAAGGATGATGAAAACAGGAAAGGAGTGTTGTCCAGATGCACACAGTGCAAGAATTCAGCCGATAAATTGGTAGGAGGAAGTTGGCATTTAAATGACCAAAGAAATTGCTCTTAACAGCCTTTTTGTACTCATGCCTGAACAGTTTTTTTGGTCAACTTAAAAATTATGCTGATGGCACAACAGGAAGCAGTCCTATGATGACTAAATGGAGCTCACATAATGAGCCAGCTGAGCTGTTTTGTTCTTCCTAGAGGCTGTTAGTAGATGATTGAGGAGGAAGTGCAGTG